AAAAGGACAGCTTGATAATTATTTTTTGTGAAGCTTTTTCCTCATTAGTTTCATTAAGTGACAATAGGAGTCAACGTGTTTACTGCAGAGATGTGTAGATGAGCAGGGAATAATGCCTGAAGAAAGCTATGTTTTCTGCACTCGCATACTTCACTTGTATTTATTCATATGAAACTCATCTGAATACTTACTACATGATACTATTTATGTAGGGTTTATTTCAAGTCATCTTTGGTATCCGACGAGGCATATGTATTCTCACGAGTTTGTTACAGCTGTGTGCCCTGGCATGTCTGCCTCCTTCCTTTGGGACCACACTGTGGAGTGGTGATGATCAGGATGATGAATCGTGAAAAGATGGAGAGGTGAGCTCCTTTAGATCTTACCCCTAATTGACTCATTACGTCTGGTATCGGCGAGAATGATTGGCCCAAGCCAACCCTACTCATAGTCAACCAAGGTCGTCTCAACTTTAATTATGTGGTTCCCATGATTTAGGGATGTTCTTATTCTAAAATTCACATATTTTTTTGACGTCGATGAACTCTATTTGACGATCAAAATCTTGCGACGGGTCATCATCACATCATTTTAAACTTATTCGACCGATCTTTAATTCATTTCTTTCAATCAAAACTGAACAATGATTCGCTCCCTTTAAAATTTCATGCTTTATGCCATGAAAATTGTATTAATCATACAAATTTTATCTCAAGCCACCAATAATTATTGTGTTTATCATGAGCTGATCACAAAGCCGAGAGTATCGTTCTGATTTTGACACATTTGCGTGTGCAAAATATACTTTTTACAAAGCCAGGCCATGATTGACATACAATATGAAAAAAGAGAGATCTTTGGGATAACTGATGAAGCACAAATGTCCTCAAAGTGTAAAGGGAGTAAATAAAACATTATCACAAGCAATTTGAGCCACAGCTTCAAACAGTAGGAAGCCCCACTAGCAAATCCTTGCATGCAAATTGAGTTCTTATCAGAATTAAAGCAACTAATTAATGCAATGGAAAAGTTGATTTATTTTTTTAGATTTTGCTTTTCTTTTTTATGTTCAACTTGTTTTTAGTGTGAGATGCATGTACGTTTCCAATGCCTCGGCATGAATCTGAAGGAAATCAAAAAGATTAAGAGACGGAAAAGTAGAACTAAGGAGGGTCTGCTGGCTGGTAGGACCGTAAATGAGCCCATGTGCTCGATGAACAACTCAAACTATGATCGATTAAGACTCGACCATGTTCATTCTAATTAGTAAATAGAAAAGCTTGAATGATTTTTAAAAGCTCAAAGCTTAAATGAACTAAACATGAATATAGTCGAACTTGTTAAATGAACTAAACATGAATATAGTCATAAGCAAACTCGGTTGTTGTTCAACAAGTAACTTATTAAATACTTGATATTAAGCTCGATGACAGCTCATACCATATACGATATTTATTTAAATAAAAATTAATTAACTAGAATATTAGCTTGTTTGTTTATAGCTAGATGATAGCTCATATAATATATGAAATATAAATACTTGATATTAAGTTTATGTAGGTTTTAAAGTTGCAATTTTTAGTTGTTTGGTAGGATTTGGATTAAATCATGCTTGAATGCTACACAAATTATTCTACTAAACATCTTTTTAAGGGATTTAGGGCAAAATGGAGGAGAAACATAATTTAAGATAATGTAGCGTTTAGAGTTTATAATCAATAAACTAATACTTCTTATTAAGTTTGCAAAATTATTAATTGAATTTTTTTGTATGAAAATCTAGATGCTCGCTTGAATATTTAGTTCATTCAATAGCTCGTTTAAATACTCATTCAATTGTCATAAATAAATCAAGTACAAACATTGAAAAAATTTAAATAAGTCGAACTTGAACAATATATGAAAGCTCTACACAAGCTCAAGCCGAACATAAACATCTTATAATTCATTACTGGAATTTAGGTTTTTTCATACGGCCATAATCCGTCAGTTATGATTAGAAAAACCATTGATTTTAATGTTGTCGACAGTTTTAAGCTTGTATGTAAAATGCTTGTCGGTAGTTCCAAAACCGATCGATATTCCGATGGTATAAAAATACTGACGGCTATCTGACAATTTAATGTTGTAGCTTTTTTTGAGAAAATTCAAGTCTTTGGTTCGTGTAACCGTGATGCTTTCGTCGGGTAATAGCGATGACATACAAATTGAAAAAAATTCACATCTATCAATTTTTTTTATGCAGTCATTTTTTATAATCGACATGTTAACTGTTGAAAAAGTATCGCACCGTTCAATTTTTTAACGCATGTAAAACCGTCAGTTAAGCATCGTTTATGCTTCATTTTTTATAACCGACGGTTTAACTGTAGTAAAAGCGCGGCGCTCGTCAGAAAAAGTGTCTCACAGTCATAATTGTGTGAAGCACCTTACTCCGTCGGCTATGTGTCGTTTAAACGTTGATAAAAATATCCATCGATTAGCCGTCGGTTTTGCCAATAAATGAATTTGAAACCGTCGAAAAATCTACGATAAGTCGTCGGAAACCTGCAACATAAGTAAAAGAAATTCTTTCTTTCTGTCCTAAAAGCATATAAATTAATTTATAAATACTTGAGTGTCAGATCACATTCTCTATTATATTAACTATATCTATAGTGGTCTTCAACCCCATATAGTTTGTTTTTTTTTTCCCGGAATAAGTTCATGTTGTTTTTTTCACAACTTATTCTAACATATGTGTATTGTAACATTTGGTATTTCAATGTGAGAGGTTATGTCAAGGCTCGGAGAGCTCAAGGAGTACAAGCATTCTTACATCCACTCGACATTTAGGGAACTCGAACCCAAGTAGCAAAACTAATAGCGATGTCAAGAATGTTTGATTGGTTAAAAACATAAAAAAAAATGACTGACAATGACGCCAAGAACATCTGTTAAGTTAAAGGCATAATAAAATGACTGACAATGACTCCATAAACATCTAATTGGAAATAAGGGTTGGCTAGGAATTTTTCTTGCCACGAGCTCAAGTCCCTTAGCTTGGATTGGAAAAAGAATACAGAGATGGTTCTCTCCCTAATAGCGACAAGCTCCGCGAATGATACGATGACAATCATTCCGAAGAGGAGTTTAGGCGGCCTTTTTCCTTACAGAGGGCACTCAACCTAAGATGGAGGTCCAATCAAGCAATCCATACTCACACGAGTGAAGGGTTGGAAACCAGCTTCAATGCTTTGGATATATATCGGTTGCGGCATAAGCCCCCCAATCAAACAAAAACAAGCAGTCGAGATGCCAAGATTGTCTAATCGATCACTTAAGCCACCCAGCCAAACAAAAATGATCGGTCAATATGTCTTTGTTTCTTTTAAGAAATATTTGCACAAAAAAGTTCTACCGTGGTCTCGTTCTTAGTTCTTAGCTCCTCACAGCCATACCAGGAGGCTCTTGCCAAGCATGTGGTTGCAATGAACAAATAGATCCACCAGTTACACGAGCAAATACTGGAAGACCAACATAGAGTCGGAAAATCTAGAGTGTGCATGGTGGAGATCATAGCATATAATAAGGGCAAGCCGTTGATGCATCCGTGCAAGAGAAGGAGGAGGAAGATGGAGATGATGAGTAGTTTTTTTTTAATGTGTAAATATTATGTTGAACATTTGTTGTAGAATTTTATGGATTAACTTTTCTATTCTTATTTGGGACGATTTGTGATACTTTTTAGAGATTTGATTTGTGATATTATTATTGCTTAATGTGATATGCGATGTGGAATGTATTTTGGTGCATGTTGTGGAAATGTAAACGATATTTAGTTTTTTTATGCGTTACAGGCTTGCGTCAAATTTGCGCCCATTTTCGGACGCAAAATCGACAATAATATTTATATGTCACATGATATTTTCCGATGCAAATTCGATGGCAACCAGCCACTAATATTTATCGTCTAATATTTTTTTATGTAAATTTTGAGGCAATCGACAAAAAATTATTCGTGTCATAATATTTCAACGTAAATTTGACGTAAATAAACTTACAGATCTCCAATTTAATGACATAAAAAAATCAGACGTAAAGATGACGTAAATCTGACGATAACCCTTAAAGATCATCGGATCTGTGTCCAATTTGTATCTTATTTAGCCGCCGCAAATATGCTTCATTCCTGCAGTGATTCTTCTAGACTATCTTCAACAATCTAGCCAGTCGTCCCTGCTTGAAAGGTCAACCGATTGATGAACCCTATCGATCCATTCGACCGACAACATTAATCGTCTCATCTCATTGACCCAAACAACCAAGCCGTAGAATAACAAGACCCAGGGCCCTTAGGGCTATAATTCTTAGAATAACTTGGGCAACTCTCATCAAAGCTAAGTTAGAAATATATTTTTCTTCATTGCACCCTCTCTCTAATATAAATAGGGAAGACTTTTCATGTAAGAAGCCTTTTGGGCTCTCTCCCTTCTCTCATGTATTTAAAATATTCGATTATATAAAAATGGTCACAATAGCTCGAGAATATCACCATTTTGCCCTAAATGGGGAGGGCAAGTCGACATGCACTCCTCTCTCTCTTTCTAATCATTTTCCATTGGTTTAATTGCTCTCTCTCTCTCTCTCTCTCTCTATATATATATATATATATATATATGTTCATAGAATATTGTTGGTTTTTTTCTAGGCATGAGTTGTTAAAACAATGATAAATAGGACAAATTTTAGGAAATGATTGTGCATCGACTCAACAAAAATCATGCAATCCCCACTGACACATATTATAATGACATTCACTATTTCCCATCATATGGCTATGATTGATTGCTTGTGCTGCTAAAGTTTATTCTTCTTTGAATCAATATTGGCTTCCTTTTATATGCCTGGTGGACGTTTATGCCACCGTGCCAATGGTCCTAAGAACTATGCCCCACATGTCTCGCACATCAACACTCTATTCCACCTCTCCTTCCCCTATAAATTGTGCTCCAACCTCTAAGCATATACATTCCATGTTCTTTCTTCTCTCTAACTCCCTGAGCCAACCAAGCCTTCTATGAGTGTGGAACATATCTAGAAACAAGTTCCTACTCTTAACTAGGGAGAGAAAGAGAGGGAGAAAGAGAGAGAGGGAGAGCGATGGCGAGTGGCATGTCTTTGGATCATCCCTGGGCATTTGCATTTGGAATACTAGGTGTGACAATCTCTGCCATGAAATATAATTACAATTATAATATTTCATTATCCCTTCTCTTTTTTATTTATAACTTTTCATTCTAGGAGAAAATATTATGTCCTCGTATTGACAAATGGATAACGGTGCAGATCACACTATGTTGTGCGTCCGTTGACGCGGTGCAATCCACACCATCATCCTCATGTTAAATTTATCAGACTTAATATTTTCTCGCAATTTAGACACACTACAATTTTAGTTATTGTAGCAATAAAACTTTATTGTAATTTCTTTTTTCTTTTAGTGCCTAAGAGTCATTTTATCATTTTCCTTTATTTCTTCCTTTGCTTGGTTGGATTGTTTTTTAGCTTTCTGTGTCGTTCTTTTAGCTTTTTTGCATGAACTGATAAAGCTTAAGCACTACAGTCTGCATGGCGTGTGGAGTCTACTCTTTATATCCCACTAACCTTTTTGTTCTATGTGTTTTAGTTAGAGCTTCTCTTTATCTGTTTTATATATATATATATATATATATATATATAACGCATGTGGCTCTATAAAGACTGAATGAGTATTCGTCAAATACTATAATTAGACAGCCAAAATCAATAATTTATTAAATATATAAATATACAAGTCCTGTTGTTTGATATATTACTATCTTATTATTTTTTTTGCACTTGTGCATCTTTCATGAGAAGAATGTGATACACACACAAAAAAAATCAGATTATGTATGATATGTTCGTCAAACGGATGGGATTCGAGCAGACCATTGTGTAGTTAACCTTTCTCAAATCTCATCCATTTTCCGCACTTAAAAATGACCTACGTATTATTTTCTCCACGCGTATAAACGCACGGCCGCACGCACACAGACACATATATAAATAATCAACATATCAAAGATATTATAAAAACTATGTGTGGGATTGTATAACTATTTGTTAAACATTGTTATTATTTTCTCCACCGTTCCAACTATTTAAAATTTCATCTCTTTTTTATACTTGCAGGAAACCTCATCTCATTCATGGTGTACTTCTCTCCATTGTAAGAATAACTGTTCTCTATGTTAACATTCAGCATATAAATATAAAGTAAAAAATAGCAAAATATTCAAGCTTTAATAGCACCTTTATACATGTATTATAATATGTTACAATATGTGCTTGCAGGCCAACTTTTTATCGTGTGTATAAGAAGAAATCAACAGAAGGGTTTCAATCTGTTCCTTACGTGGTTGCATTGTTCAGTGCAATGCTTTGGATATATTATGCTTTCATCAAAACCAATACATACCTTCTCATCACCATAAACGCATTTGGATGTGTAATCGAGACCATATACATTGCTATATACCTCATTTATGCTCCAAGGAAGGCCAAGGTATATCTATAAATATACATAATATTTCAATCTTAATTCTAAATAAAATTTCATCAAATCTATATGTTCTTGCAAATTTGGCTAACTTATTTGGTAATTTTAACTATGTAGATGTACACTTTCAAGATGATCATGCTCTTGAATGTGGGGTTGTTCTCTTCGATTGTTCTATGCACTCTATTGCTCTTCAAAGGCTCGATTCGCCTTCAAGTTCTTGGATGGATTTGTGTTGCATTCTCTGTTTGTGTCTTCGCTGCTCCTTTAGCCATCATAGTACGAGCAAGACATTTTTTCTTCTTCTTCTAGCAATAATCTTTTTTTTTATATTAATGGTAACAATATAACAACATGAATGATTAATAAATTTTTATCTATATATGCAGAGGTTGGTCATTCGAACTAAGAGTGTAGAGTTCATGCCTTTCTCCTTATCTTTCTTTCTCACTTTGAGTGCTGTGGTATGGTTCTCCTTTGGTGTATTCAGCAAGGACATCTATGTTGCAGTATGTAATTTAATTTATAATTTAGTTATTAAGTTCTATTATGTGTGTGTGTGTGCGCGTGTGTCTATATAACTTGTGGAATTATAGGCATGTATGATTCTAACTTTAGATTTTGGGTGTTGAGCAGCTTCCAAATGTATTAGGATTCAGCTTTGGTGCAGTGCAAATGGCACTTTACATATTCTACAAAGACACCAAAGTGCCCCAAAGCTTGACAGATAAGGAGAAGCTTCCTGAGTATATATCAAATGAAGGAGAAATAGGGAATCAAAAGGTTATGAAGGTGGTTGATGGTGGCCATGACTATCTTAAAGAGGATAAGGAAATGAGCCTAGTGTAATGGAATGGAAATGGAATCAAGCCATATAATTGCTCTTCCATGTATGTCTTTCTATGGTGAGATTAAAATGATATTGTAAGGGTAAGGAGTTTATAAGATTTTGGGTGGTTGTGGTTAATTTTGTTGTTTTTTTTTTCTTTCTACTCAATCTATGCTTATTGGTGTGCTTGTATTTTAAGTTTGTACTTCTATATGGAAATTTAACTACCAATTCCTCTTAATTTTAAACATAGTTTGGCAAAAAATGACAATTATATATCTTGTAAATGTTGATTCTTGCATGTGGAGGGCAGAAGGCTTTTTTATTAACTATTCTTTCTAGTATTAGCTATAATTAATCATATGCAAGATTATTCCAATTGAATTTGATGGAATTTCAAATCCATCTCAAACTTTATTTTAATCATATTAAAAGTTTTTTTTAGGTACTTTGATGCACTGAGCCAACTTAGAGTTTCCTATTTTTTTATTTTCTTTTGCTATAAAAAAAAGGTTACCTGCTTAATATAAAGGTATTGAATGAATGAATTAGTTGATGAAAGATTTTATTATTGAGTTTTATTCAAACATAATTATGTTTATCTTCTTTCAAAAACTTTGAGTCCATTCACAATGAAAGATTGCCTATATCACTCTTTTCCACTCCTTACAATTCTAGTTTTTTTTTTTTTTTTGGGTAAACTTGCATTTTCAAAGTGTGTAAATGAAGTTTGGAGAATAAAGATAAAGCATGAACACTGTAGAGATTTGAGATCTTGAAAATGATGAATCAATCAAAAAACTTATTCTCTGATACATAGTTTAGTTTATCATAAAAATTCTCGGTGATTATAATTTTATCAAACTTTCAATTTATTATTGATTTTAGTTTTAACATGCTCCATTTCTTTGCCTCTATTAATCAAGCACTCCTTCATAAAAAAAACATATCAAATCCCCTATTCCATTTTTTTGTGAGCTTAATTTAGTTTCACTTTCAAGTTTATATTAATATAATCAAAAGATCTTATAGAGAACCCTCACATTCAAAAGAAATAAGAATAGGTGAAATTAATATACAAAGTTTTAGAAATAGCATTGTAAGAAATATTGATGTCAAGATTTTTTCTTCTTCAAATTACAATCAATATTTTATTTTTATTTTAATTAATGATAGCTAAATAAATTAATATTATTTTGTACTAAAATAATTATCACATCATAGTGTAAATTACTTTTCATATTATTCTATAAAATTAAGTTCACATGAATAAAATATCTTCATAAGAACAAACAATTTTTATTAAAAGAAAAACATAAAAAGAGAAATGGTAAGTACAATTGGCCATGCCAAACCCATTAATTGAAGAATTAAGGCATGTTTATAATAATTTTGATTATCATTTAGGCCTTCTATGAGAATAATGAATAATACCTGAAATACAATCAAGGATGACACACATCAATGTTGATCAACAATCAATTAGATTATAACAATCATCCATATTAGTTGAAGAAAGATCATGATGATTGACTAATCACATACAGTTATTGATATTGTTTAATGGAAGTTAATGTCCTTCACTTTAATTTTGACTAGACCATAGTGACCCCAAGTTTGCTAAATCAGCCTTATGACCTTAACTAGCTAGGCGAATTTACACCTTGCACCCAAACTAATCATTTCATGGCAATTAATTAGCTTTTCCCTTAATCCTCAACTATTCTTAAGAAGCCATACCCTAAGTTCCCCTTTTTATAAGCCAAGATTAAATGTGTTACTTTAGTCCTGACTCAATTAGAATTTGTCCCAATCTTAGCATGACTCAACCATATTTGTCTTGGTCGGCTTAAACTTGTAATGTGAACCCAATTAAACTTAGATTAATCCTTCAACACTTTGTGATTAAATTGATCCATACTCTCATTGGAGATCTAAAAACTATAATTTATAATCACAAGTCATGATTAAGTTCTAATTTCATATATAAACTAAGCAAATTTTATATTCCTAACTTTAAAATTAAAATTTAGTGCATTTCGAACCTCCTATTTATTCTTCTTTCTCTAAATAAGCTTTTTATGAGTATTTATTGCAATCTATATCTGACATTTTTAGTGATAATCTTATCTAATCCATGCCATTTATATTGACTTGTATTACTTTATGTATTATTGTCTAATTTTTCACATCAATGAAAATTCATTATCTTATAGACATGATATAATACGTAATTATACTTGTATGATATTTTCAGGATACTCGTGAGTACTCCGAGCACACCTATAGTTGCTAGAGGATACTGAGTTACTAAGTTATTCTCCTCATACTTAAGAGAAGATATTAAGTACATGCAATGCATTTGCGGGCAACGAATAAGAATAGAGCACACCTCCTATATGCACACGCTTACCCCTACACATAGGGCTGTCAAAAAAGCTCGTTGTTCGCGAACAGTTCGTGTTCGGTTCGTCAATTAGTTCGTGTTCGATTCGTTCAATAAGTAAACGAGACAAACGCGAACAAATTTTTTTCGTTCGGTTAGTTAGACGAACCAAACACGAACAGTGATGCGTTCGTTCGTGTTCGAATCGTTATTGTTTGAAATATAAAATAATATAAAATAATTATATATAAAAAATTTATTATATTTTAAAACATTAAATTTTATAATACTAATATAGATATTATATATTTATATAATATAAGTTATATAATTAATATATAATATTAATTTTATATATTAATATTAGAGATGTCAAATTGGCTCATCGTTCGCGAACAACTCGTGTTCGGTTCGTGTTCGGCTCGTTCGTTAAGAAACGAACACGAGCTTATTTCAAACAAACTAAATTTTAAACGAACCGAACACGAACACAAGCTTTGTTCGTTCGTGTTCGGTTCGTTTACACCCCTACCTACACACACGCTCTCCTCTTTTTCGCTGTCCATAAATGCTCTCTGTGTCCGGATGAGCGGCATCCATAATGATAAGAATTGATATTATTTTGTGGTGGTAGCAATGATATTACAATAGAAATACCATCAATATTATTACAATATTATCAAATCGTACCTATAAGATTAGGATGTACTAATCACTTTTTTTGTGAGAAATTATTAGGTCCGGATAAACTGGATTTAAATTAAATGCGGGTAATAATACTTCAGATGTTATTAATGTTATTATAATTATATTATTGTAAGGCTCCTGGTAAGGGAAAAATATATTTCATCGAAATATTACACGTATCGGACGGTATATTGTCATACACTTAAATGTTTATTGAAAAATTATTGAGATTATATATTATTTAAATTAATACTTAAAATTATTGAGAGTCATCCGTACGCAAATATTTTCACATGCGGTGTCCGATCCTGACCGTAAATCAGGTGATCTACTGTATTTCGGTGGGCCCCACCTAAATTTTTTTTTTTTTTTAAAAAAAAACTGAAATAATTTCTCTTATGAGAGGTTTTTAGTTCTGCAGATCGAGTGGAGCATCGCAGCGAATGGCGGCATCAGACTCAGAGATAAGGGCGGCGGAGGAGGAGCTCCGGCGAGGATTCCAGACGCTGGAGGTTGTACAGAAGGAGCCGAAGATTCCAGTCTACCACATCTATCTCAACCGTGCTCCCCAAAGGAACGCCCTCACAGTATCCTTCTTCTCCGAACTCCCCCAAGCCCTCTCTCTCCTCGCCATCCTCCCCTCCGCTCGCGTTGTCGTTCTCGCTGCCCGTGGATCCCATTTCTGCTCCGGAATCGATCTCGAATCACTCCGATCTTTGTCTTCCTCCACCTCAGCCGATCCCGCCACCGCCGCCGATGTGCTCCGCCGCCGTATCCTTTCTCTCCAAGCAGCTATCTCTGCCATCGAGCGCTTCCGCAAGCCCGTCGTAGCTGCCATCCAAGGAGCTTGCATCGGAGGCGGCGTAGATCTCGCTGCCGCCTGCGACATACGATGCTGTTCTGACGACGCTTTTTTTATTGTCAAGGAGGTCGACCTCGCCCTTGCAGCTGATCTGGGGTCTCTGCAGCGCCTGCCGCACATAGTTGGTTATGGCAACGCCGTTGACCTTGCGCTCACCTGCCGGAGGGTTTCAGCTTCGGAGGCCAAGGCGATGGGCCTCGTCACTAGGGTTTTTCCCTCCATATCGGCGCTTGATCAGGGTGTCGACCAGCTTGCCGAAGGTAATCTTGTCGTTCTTTAGCTTATCTATGTGCTCTTTCTGGAAGAGTTCGTCATGTGAAACATCTAATTATGTTAATTTGTTGGATAAAGTTCCGCATTGTCTGGATTTGTTAGAGTGTATCTTTGGGTAACAAAACTACCTTAGTTTGCAGATCAATTGCACAAATTGCAATTGGCTGCATTCAATTCTGCTCAATTTTGTTAGCAAGATTTAGGTGGGATTTAACAAATGATCAGGTTAAATCCCACCAAGCGATTTTTTTTCTTTGCATCCTTAAATCCAATGATGTCATAAATTCCTATACATCGAAAATCTAACTGCACGAATCCGGAGGAGGTTCAATGGATCACTCAAAGGAGATGTCAAAGGATTGCATCATCGCAGTTGAAAGACTGAACCATCAACATCACTTCATTCGGTTGGAATATGAGCCGATTGAAGGAAAATGTATCAGGGCCGATGAGAACTGCACGCTTAAATTGGGACGGTCATACAAAATCAACGTCCCCAATCGATTCTGGGCCTCTTGCAAAGAAGATTAATGGTCGCCCTGAGTTACTCCCTTTCAACCTTCCAAAAAAATCTCTCTTTCGAAGAAAAGTTTCCTATTAGATTACCGTGACACACCTTTGCCTAATGAAATAATCCTTCCCAAGATTGAGAATGTCTCCGCAAAGGGTTTCGTTAGGGAAGTGGACTTAAGGTTTGCTGATCGAAGGATTTTAGCCGACCGAGCGATGATCAGGCGACCCAATTGAATAGTTATGAACACGAAATAGTGTCGGTAACAGTTACCAATGTAAAATGATGCAAACAACAGTTACAAAGGGAAAAAACTACCAACATTGGTTACAAATATGGAAATGCACAATGTTTCATTAATTACTTATAATATTCTTATTTAATTAGGGACAAACTTATAATTTCAGGAAAGACTATTGAAGCTGTTCCAAGATAATTCGTGTTACCGTGTGTTCTATTCTCGTTTCAATTTCTTTCTTCATTCCTCTCATCCGTCCAACGTTCTATCCCTTGGGCGTGACCCAAAGGACATTTCGAGATTCAACAATCCCATTTTCTAATCAAACAAGTTTAATCGAGCTTATTAATGAATTTCTTGATGAACTTACAAAAATAAATGAATAACTAAAATAAACATATAAATGCGTAAAATAAATGAACAGCTAAACAAAGATGTTTTTATCTTGTTTTATATACTACAAATTAAAATTTAATTTAATTTATTTAGTATAAATGAATTTCAAATTAAGGTTTAAATGAGCTTATTCACAAGCTCAATTTAAGCTTTAAGTCTTTAACCGATTTTATTCGTCAGCATAAAATTGATCTTATTTATGAACTTGAAATGAAATTGTTTATCGAGCTTCTTAACGAGTTTGTTTACAAACTTTAAATGATATTGTTTGTGGACATAAACGAATTAAACAAGGAAGTGTTCAAGCTTGTTCATTTAACAATCGAGTATTTATAGACGTATTAAAATTTGTTCAATTAGTTAATCAAATGAACATGAACGAGCTCTTATCTACTAGAGTTACGAGTAGCTTGTAAAGCGCTCGATTCATTTGCAGCCTTAAGTTCAAAGGCAAAACTAAAGCAAAGGAGGCGAGGGCAAGAGCTCTACGGTTGCTATTGGGTGCGGAGAAGAGAGAGGGCTGCAACTAGGGCTTTGGAAGGAGGAGAGGCTTGCTTGAGAGGTTTAGATAGTCGTAGGAGGAGGCGAGCGAGACAAGGGTGATGCCCTAACCATTCAGCTTCATATATAGGAAGCGAAGGTGGTTTGGTAGCAAGTGCGAGAGAGGTTGAGCAAATTGGGAAGGTGGTGGGGAAGAAAAGGAAGAGTCGTGAAACTTACGTGCTTTAGAGGCGGTAACGGAAATGAAAAGGGAATGGACTATCACGGGAGATTGATCGGGAAGGCCACGAGAAAGGATTGCATGATTCACACAATGAAAAGGACAAGTTATCATGGGAGAAGCTCGTGTGATCTGCATGATGGAGAGACAAGGTGTGTAGGATCAATTAAAGAATTGAAAATTTTGAGCACGGATTGATGGGTGAAGGTTGTGCTTTGGTTTTGGCAAGGAAGGTTTGGCTCTTACAAAGATCACCAAAGGCCAGGAGAGCTCATTGAGGATGATCTTATCATTTCAATTGACGTCGAATGAAGCAGATGGAGGTAGAGGGGTGCTCAAGGGTCGACTAATGGGCCTTCGAAGACGATGGTGGTAATGAGAATCTCGACATATTGTGTCTAAAGGGGCTGCTTGGCTGCAAGTAGAATTTAATGTTAATAGGATTTAGTATATTAGTCAAATTAGAAATCCATTGAACCCGAAGATTTAGAAAAGCTGGGATTTAGCCGAATCGAAAGCAAAATCTGATTTGGCAAGTACATAAATCTGTAAATCCACCAAACTCACGCATCTTACTATTTGGCTGGATTCAGTAAATCTGGTGATAAATTCTAAAAATCTATACCAGACAGCACCGAAAGCTTAAATAGGGGGCATTTTCTTTCAGCTTTCTTTCTGTAAAGTATGACAATATTGTTTAGCTATAAACTTATCTCTATTCTTAAGAGATTTTTCTGTCAAGAAGCAATTTTGTACGGCTAAATCAACTAAAGTGTGTTTATTGTAACAAAGTTGCTGTGCAACTTTTTTTAAAGTGAAACTATGATACCACAGCTTTATAATATCTTGCTTTACCCACGATATGTTTACAACCACATCCATAGACAATTCATTCTTCCCCAAATAGTCCCTTAAATGTTGTTTTGCCAAATTAATTTTTATGATTTAATACCCTCAAGATGCACCAAATTCAAATTTACAATATTTATTTATAACTGCTCGAATTAACTCGTGCTTGTAGCCGGCCGCCGAACTAGAATTTAATAGAGTGACAAAATTAAAAATTAAATGGTGGCGAGTATTTAAGGTTAAAGTTTTCTTCTCCTATTTTTTTTTAAAAACTATTATAAATATTATAATTAAATTAAAATATAATTAATATTAAATTTATTATTAAGTATTTAAGTTCAGGAGATAGAGTTTTTCATGTATTACATGATATTAAAGAGTTTAGTAAAAATGTAGCGTTGGTGAACCCCTCCCTCAACCAACTTTTGGTTCCACAACTGCTTGTAGCCAAATAGCCTTTCTGTATTTTCATCTATGCTTTCTCCTCAAGCATTAAGAACATACATAGCACAATTCCTGTATATTTACATATCTTACTCCTAAACTTTCATATTCTTTCATATTTACACACATAACACTAACACTCAAATCCTTACTATCACATCAAAAATAGCACTATTATCACTTTTTTAAAGTGAAATATACTTTCGCATGCATGTTCTTATAGCACCAAAATGCTATGCAAGTAAATATGTAACTTTAGATTTGAGATATGGTAGGTGCATAGGAATCATGTGATGGGTGTGTAAATTTCCATTTTAGTTGAGGGATAATTACACACAGACTGCCTGAAACATTGATATTTATAAATTAACCACTCAGATGTTTTTCTTGAACTACTGAACTGATGTAGTTACTCTGATCCTAATCTATATTTGTCGATTGAGATTAGAACTGAAATTAGATTGGTTAACAACAAGAAAATATTATATGATTGTAGTAAGTTGGATATTTGACAATAAAGATTTATATCATCACCTGCAAATGCATTTTGAAATTGGGCTTACAGGACTGGCGGCGAAGTCGGCGGTGGCAGTGATGGGGACGAAGGCGGTGCTTCTGAAGAGCCGAGATCAAAAGGTGGAGGAGGGACTCGAGTACATCGCAACCTGGAACTCAGCCATGCTCATGTCTCCTGACCTGGAGGAGGCTGTTGCTGCTCAGCTACAGAAGCGCAAGCCTAACTTCTCCAAACTGTGATTTTTAGTCTTCTTTCATTTGTAATTTGGAAGATTTACATGCACACCACACAATCCTTCTGTGTTTACTTATGTAGCACCTCAACTTTCATATGTAATCATACCACCATGGTATTAAAACAAACTTTAAGACAAATATAAAAGTGTTATGTATATTTTTTGAGACAAATAAAATCAATAATTTCAAAAAAATATTTTTGAGATTAGTATAGAAACAAAACTTGAAACATTGTTGTTTGCAAAACTAGCACCAAGATAGTTTTGCTGGAACTACAAAGCCAATAAGTTTATTATTTACAAAAATAACACTCCAAGCATTACTATTTACAAGTTTAGCACCCTAATCCATCCATTTTTCAAATTCTCACTCAAATAACAAAATTCACAGCAAAAGCTCAAACCATATTTTTCATTTGTCAATTTCTGTGCTAGCTTTGTAAATTGCAATATTTCAAGTGGTCTGTGGTGCAAAACTATTTTATAAAGAGTTCATTGAAGTATGTGAATCAATGAAGAAAGACAGACAAAAAAATGGTTTATTTTTTTATTCCTCTGCCTTCCTCTCTGTTGGAAATGCAAATTATGCCTAAAAAGCTGCAGATCTTCTTCTGTTCTGTGACAGCTTTCTCATATTAATGAAATCCAAAGAGAAGTATAGAAAAAGCACAACACACCACTCCAGACTCCCAGTGAAATATCAAATCAAAATAAAAAAAAATTACAATGGCTCATTTCTGTTCCAACTGCAGACATATTAGAAGGTGGTGTACACCATAATAAAATGCTAAAACAACCTTGCACAACACACAGACACACTGCTACAGATTAGATTTTCGATCAGACCGATTTATGCCCGGTGATATGCCGACGAGATTGGGGTTGTTGTCCGTGGAATTTACGGGTGGCGGCATGTCCCAACTCCCACTGCTCCTCCTCCCCCAACTAGAATTCCCCCATTGCTGCTCGGTCGCCATTTGCTCCTCCGATCCTTCCAATGGCAATATTCTATCTGAATCCAATGATGAGTTGTACAACCGACCATCTTTGTTTTCGACGGTTTCGACGCTAAGACCGGTTTCCATTTCAATAGCAGAGCCTGCCTCGTGCTCGCCCCAAGCCATGGCTTTCCTTCCCATTTCGATGTCTCCGATGCATTTACCCATGTTTGGACTCATGAAACCTCCTGTGGATTGTCTGGGTTTTAGGCCCTGATCTAGCATCACCTTAGCACGAAAATTGTTCTTGGAGGGAGGGATGGAGGTGAAGAAAATCTCTTTGAAATTGGAGATTAAACCTAGGTTGTAAGGGTTTTCTCGGCGATCGTAGCGGTATCGAAAGTTCTCGTATGTCGTCTGAAAGAAAAAATTGGAACATTAATTGCAAGAATATATAATAATGAAATATAACAGATTATTAATTTCAGTGCAAACTGCTCATGTCTGAAATAAAATCTTAGTGGGTAGTTGCTGCAAATAAGACGTTGTGGATCGATAAATAATAATAAACTATCACGGTGAACACAAGATATGGAGATTGGTTCCCTTCAACGAGTATAAGAAAATTCAGTACCTATTTACTATATTCTTTTTAGGTATTTTTCTAAATAAATCAAAATAAAAAAATAATGTCAAACTAGTGAAGTGTTATGTTACTTTACAACCCAGGCAAAAACCAAACTAAACAGCATTCCAGGCAAAAACCAAACTAAACAGCATTCTCTTTGGGGTTTGATTGATAGGGATAACATTCATTTTTTATTTTGGAAAATTTACATCACAAGCACACAATTCTAATATATTTACATGTCTCACACCTAAACTTATATTGTGCCGCAAGTCGTGGCCTGTTGGTTGGCGGCGGGGTTCACTGTAAGTCCCCCCAGGTCAAGGGTTTGATCCCCAGTGGCGCTGGGTTCTTGGATATTTAGGCACATGGCGAGGGCTCTCATCATGGGGCCTAGCGCATGGGAAATCGGTATTTGGGCCACTGCCAAATACCGATTTTTTTTTTAGTATATATATATATATATAGTTTTTTTATGCTTTAACAGAAAAGGTGCATTTCACTTTTAAAAGGTGGTAATAGTGCTATTTTTTATGTGGTATTAAAGATTTCGGTCCAATGTGTGTAAATATGAAAGTATAGGTGTGACATGTAAATACATAAGAATTGTGTGCCATGTTAATTTTAATTTGTTTCGTTTTTAGTCTCTTTATGTCTAAACATAAAACAAAAGCATGTTTGATATGCTTATAACTTCTCAATGGAGAAAGATTGGAAAGATAAATCACAAGGCACCTAACAGAGTGGCAAAAGTTATATCAAAGAAGTAAAGGTGTATGTTACTTTACAACTCAGCCTCCTTTCTCCCTCAATATCTTTGTACCTTTCATATATAATGCAAAATATATTCACCATAATACTTCCTAAATGCCATTTCCTCGAGCTTCCAATCTCACTTCTTGCTACCTTCATGGCTTCATCTCTTTGTTTCCACCAAGTAACTGAGCTATGTAGTTTTAACAAACATTTTTTTTTTGGTTAGGTTTAACTCACATTTTTATTGTTTGTTCATATAAATAATTTTGGTGCATATACGAGTCAAGATTAAACATCTATGCATCCTTTTCTATACTAAACAGAACATTTATGCCATAATGGTCAAGAACAAAATACAGGCCAAAACCATGCAAACTCCAACAATTATTACAACAGCTTGGTTTAAGCATAATGGAAAACAATGATGCAAGCTGATCATGTTTCATTGACCTGCTATGTAATTATATTGATCATGTAATTAAAAGTTTTATATCTTTTTCTAGTCTTAAATAGTGGGGATCTTTTTTATAAAAGTTGTAATTCGATCGCAAAGGAAAGTTAACTATGAATGACAGTTTTTGGCTGTTCAAGCTGTCCCCTCTCACAAGCAAATCTCCCATCTCTTCTATTTCCATTATGTAATGCCGCTCCATCTGGCAGAGGAACAGCTCCACCCTCTAATATGCAAGCTAATGTGATCATTACAATACAATAAAGTATAGGAAGATTTACATACATACCACTCAATTCATATATATTTACATATCTAAAACCAAAACTTCAATTTTTACAGGCACAGCAATTATCTATTATGCATGAAAAGTGTATTTCACTTTCTAAAAGTTAAAATGGTAGTATTTTTTATGTGATATGAGATTTGGGCGGTTAAAATGTAAAAGGCAAGGGTAAATAAAAAAATTCCACATTTTTCAAGATTAGCTCATTTACCTGGTTAGTGCTGATGAGATATAAGTGGAAGACGGAGAGGCCGCCAACAAACCAAACGGCTATAAACGTGTAAATAATTAAAACAATGGAAGCAGGAGTCTTGGTCATTGCCTTCCAAATGTTTGTTTCTTCGGCATCCATAATTTTCTTGATATAGACCCAACAGAATGCAAACACATAGAAGCAAAGCAGAGTGGTTGAGAACACAAACATATAAAAGAACCTGTAGTTCCTCTGGAAAAATAAAAGACAGGAAAGTTTAGTCAGTAACAAAAAGTAGGAAGATTTACATACATACCACTCAATTCCTATGTATTCACAAACCTAACACCCGAACTACAATTTTTACATACATGCCACCTTATTTATGCATAAAAATGTGTATTTCGCTTTTTAACGTTAAAATGGATGTATTTTTTATGTGATGTGAAAGATTTGGGTGGTATAAATATAAAAGGTAAAATTTAGGTGTTATATACCCCCACGTAAGAAGTCACTTTTGAAGCTTAGAAACATAACTAACGTCCATTGTTGTTTCACTAAATTTTCAGCCTGCTAATTTTTGGAAAATTTTTAATTGGAAGATTTACATCCATACCACTCAATTCTTTTGTGTTTACATATCTAACACCAGAATTTTAATTTTTACATATAAGCCACCTTACCTATACATGAAAATGTGTCTTTCACTTTTAAAAAGTTAAAACAGTGGTATTTTTATTTGATATAAAGGTTTGGATGGTTTAAAGGTAAAAAGTAGAGTTTAGGTGTAAGATATGTACAACAACAACAACAACAACAACAACAAGTCTTTATCCCGTTAAGTGGGGAGGTGTAATATATGCAAATACATAAAAATTGGGTAGTAGTGGTATGTATGTAAATGCCCCGGGCATTCAAATACATATACCACTTACTTCCTATGCATTTACATATCTAATACCTAAAACTTTATTTTTTACATTCATGCCGCCCAAATCTTTCATATCACATAAAAAAAAAATCACCAATTTAACTCTTAAAAAGAGAAATACACCTTTTCATGCACATGTAAGATGTTATGTATGTCAAAGTTGAAATTTAGTTTAGGTTTTAGATAGTAAATATATATTAAAGGAATTAAGTCGTATGTATGTAAATGCCGCTTTTTAATAAATTACTTCCAGAAACTTATCACTTACAAGCCCTATGCATTGCCCAACCCATGGACAATGATGATCAAATCGTTCCACGCAGTTGTTGCAGATTGAACAATGGGAGCATCGAGGAGGTCTATAAAGCATGCAAGTGTCGCAGTATTTGATTTTCACAGTGATGCCGTTAACTATCACATCCTTCATGCGTGGCAAACGCATTTGTGGTGTTTGCACACCACCAACATCAATGCTCCCATCGAGGCCTTCAGGTTCAGGAGGTTGTGTGTTACGGGGTATGATACCAGGATCTCTTCCAGAAGCAAGCAGCAGAAGACATAAATCCTGAAGGTGATATGCGTAAAAAAAATTTTAAATCTAGTTCAGTATTTGTATTGCAGGTTGTGCCTCAAAGATGTTGCAAGAAAAGTAAGGCATTAGGCATTAGGAAAAAAAAAAAATCAAATAATAAGAAACTCAAAAATGGCATTGTCCCACATGGAAGGAATGCTTCGGTACTCAAGTATCAAATAAAGCGGCCAACATGAAAGACAGCTCCATATCTTGTGCTTCATAGCAACAATCCAATTATTACTAGAAAGATTTTTTTCAAGCTAGATTCCTATTAAAGGTTCAATAACAGTTTTCAGAAAACACTTACAACTATACTTTAATATTACAGGCATGTGTATACTAAAAGCTTGTTTGATGTATGGATTAAGTATTTAATCTTACCAAAGAATACAATATTTTGTATTGGATGGCTTGACTAGCTAATCCTTACATATATTTATCGTATTCCATCTTAGATGAGAATTAACTTTAATATGGTCTTGGAATAAGCTCATTCAACAAAAAAATTAAGATAAGGCATACCATAAAAATATTAATTTAAGATTGATTTAATTAACCAATAATAAATAATAATTAGGATTACTAATTTCAATTTGAGATAATCTAATAGCAAGCCAAACAGCATAAGAGAAATACAAGAGAATATCTAATTACTTATAATAGCAATGGTAACTTCTCTGGCTTCAGTTGAGAAGATATACCAGAAAAAACCAAGGTTTTAACATCGGACCGGTTCAACAGCAAAATCTTTCCTAACCAAACCTATACGAGGTCGCCTTCTTGAAACGTTACTTTCTTCCTGGATTTATTCGTCTCTGCCCAATATTTGTGGCTCATCTTAGCAATCACCTTGCCAACTTCTTTATGGAGTTTAATAACATGATTCGTTTCTGTGGTATCCTTGTCATGATTCATTTCTGTGGTATCCTTGTTGCGTTTCAAAGATGGTAAGAGCGCCATCAATTCTAGTGGCGTGAGCGGATTGTGTCTGTACATAATTTCGAAGGGAGTTCGTTCAATAGTTTGGCTGATAGATCGGACATAGGCGAACTCAGCTTAGGCTAGGATAAGATCCATTATCTCATGTTTTTTTCCCACAAAACATCTAAGGAGATTGCCGAAGCTCCGCTTTACTACCTCTGTTTGTTCGTCCGTCTACGGGTGAGCTGTCGAGCTGAATTAGAGTTTGGTACAAGCTTTTCCCACAGTGTTCCCAAAAGCTGACTCGGGAATTTGAAGCCTTTGTCGCAGGTGATGGTCTTAGGAATTCCGTGCAACCTTACAATCTCTCTGAAGTATAGATCGGCGAAGTAAGAGGGGTCAAGTGTCCGGTGACAGGGTACAAAGTGGGTCATCTTAGAGAATTTGTTTACCACAATCATTACGGAGTCCTTGTTTTTTTTATATAGAAATAAGATTGCAACACGACTGAAACAAAAAAGAAATACAATAATAGACGAATTTCCGATTAGGGATATAGGAAGAGATCCGAAGAAGGCGGCGGCGGCAGCGGGGTGGGAGGGCGAGGATAGGGAAAGGAGGGGAAGGCCAGGTGGTGGCTTAGGTAAGTTGGGATGGTGTTTGATTGATGGTAGGTAGGCGGAACAGAAAGGTTGAGAGGGAAGTAGAGGCAGCGGCAACAGCAGCGAGGTGGAGGGATTTGGGGTGGTAGATGACTAAGGGGGGTAGTAGGAGAAAGATCGAGGAGCAAAAGAGATTGGAAGAATACTACACCACCTCGAAGCAGGATACAGTGTAAAGCAACACCTGTCATCGAATATAACCCTAACAAGAGTAAGAGACTCCACGCAAGAGATCTAAAGACAACACCACTAGAACCAACTCCTACACACAGGGGACAACAATTTATAGTCTCCTACTATCAAACAAAAGGAAGTGGGGTGAGAAGGTAAGAAGAATCCAGAAAAAGCTCTTCCTAGAAAAAGACGTGTGGCGGATAGCAAAGCAATCCCCTGGATCGCGAGAGTTCGCAATTCGCATCCTTCGCACAGGATCGTGATCCCGTCCCCGCGTTACTTCCCGCAAAGCTTTGCAGGTCATCTGTCCCTCGGAATCGAGGCGCATCGCTTCGAGGCACATTTAGTGCCCGCACTCGGGCATTGATTCAACGCTTGCATCAGCTAGCTTGTTGCGTTTGGAATTTTGTGCAGGGTTCAAACTAACTTTTTGCCACTAAGTTGTAAGGACTAAGAAGTAGTATAACAATAAAAGAAATATATTATTTAATGTCACGGGCCTACCTATTCAAAAAGATATCCAATTTTTCGGAATTATTGTACTTTGTTTCTACTTTGTACACTTTTCTTCTAAAAATCAACTAGTAAATACATCTTTGAGATGCGGGACTAAAAGTAATGCAAACAAAAGAAAAAAAACCCTTTTAATTAGAGCCACAAATATTGCAAACGAAACTTATAAATTATTAAATTTGATATATTAATTTACATAATGGAATAAACAATTTAATAAAATGATTACCATACAATTAATCAATTGAATATATAAAACAAAAAAAATTATTTTATGATTAATAAAATTAATACAATTTTTTTTCATGAGATATTCTTAATAATATATCATTTTTAGTAAAAAAATATATATTTTTATTTAAAAATAAATATAGAATTTATTAAATAAGATAACATTATGAATATTAATATTGATATTTTATTTTGTGATTAATATTTTCCTAAATAAATTATTATTATTATATGTGTTATGTAAAGAATAAAATATATGAAAATTTTACTATTATTAAAATAAATTGAGAATTTATTTATTTTTAAATAATTGCCTCTATTTTTATAGAAATAATTCACTCAAAATCACTCGAAGAGAAAATTAACTTTAATATATTAGACCTCAAATTTCATATTTCTAAACATAACACACAAAACTTTAATATCGCCTCCAAAATATACCACTATTAAAAGGAATTTGATCCAATTTGACAAAATTGATTGGACAGATAATTTTACCATGCCATACCCGATTCAATCTTTGAACCTTGAACATCTATCTCTCTTTACCGGTTCAATATCCAGTCCGGTTTTCAAAATCTTAGAAAAAAACTTAAATAAGAAGAGTAATTTGAATCAAGGTCGCTATAATCGGGATCAAATTATATTTACACCTAACAGTAGTATTTCAATCGTAAGCATTTTGGTTACTAAATTATATGATATTCTTCAATTACGTTCATACTAAAGAATCCATTAGTTACACAAAAATACTGGGAGATATAGGCTCACTCCATCAAATAATAATTCAAGCTGGATATGGCTCATTAATAATACAGTGTCGATTTATAACAAGTTGACATTAAATGTTCAGACATAACAGAATTCTGAACCATAATCCATACTTAAAGGGCATATACAAAATATCAAGATCACATTGAGCAGGGTCCTTAGAAGAAACTGAGGAAAATCGCATGTCCCTTTCATTGTAGAACGGTTATTTCTGTGAGTCAAACAAGTGACCTCAATGTGAAGAAAAATTAACTATTGTTCCAGTTCTACCCTAAATCAATCCATAAACAAGTAACCAAATGCTGCCAAACTCGAAAATTAAAAGACCTCTATTTTCAAAGAAAAGAATGAGCTGGATTTAGTCCCAAAACATACAGGCCTAAATGCAAATTAAAAAAATCAAAATCAAAATCCTTCAATTTGTTGCCACAACTTTGGACATACACACATAAAAAGCATTCAACCACTTGTTGCTTGGTGCAAAAAATTGCGAAAAAAATAAGTACCGAAGAACTTACATATGCTGCTTACCATGAAGTTGTAACGAATCCACCCACAAGTATTTAGGTTTCCTTTAACTATTATGCTACATAAGCTGAGATCACCAAAATTATGTGATTTACTTGGGGCTTGGGATCATCTTTGTTTTCTATTTTTGTTTAACTTTTTTACTTAACTTTTTAAAAGCATGTTCGGTTAGAATATTTTTTACATATTTTTCTTTTTTTTTTAAGAATAACCCAATATATTTTTAAAAACACTCAAAATAACTTTTAGATATTTTGAATATTTTCAAAAGCAAACACAATTTAATTTAAATTCCCAAAAATATTTTTTTTTCAAATCAGTGTAAACAAAACAAAAAACACAAAACAAACAAAAATGATCCCAAACAGCCCCTTAACAAAAATAACTAGCAAACACCAGAAACATATTCTTATAATTACAAAGATTACGAAAATCTTTAAAACAAAAAAACTAAACCACTAATCAAGAACAAAGAAAGTGAAACCAAAGAACATACCATGAATATATGGTTTCTTCCAATGGAACAACAAAACTTCCCTCGCTATTTAAAGCAATGCATAGTGTAAATGCCCTAAAATTTTCCAAAATATGTGCACACATAATACAAGGTCTGCATTTAACACAAATAGATCAAATTAATATTGAATCTCACATTTTTTTCCTCTTTAAGAAATATAACAAAACATTTGCTGACATAACTATATCATAAGTTCTAGATGCATTGTCATCATCATCAATAGCCCTATCCTAACTATTTAATGTCGGCTTTATAAATCCTCAATCTAAATTCATTTCTAGAATACTATCTATGACATCAAATGCAGTCTTCACGAATCATTTGAACGACTCATTTGACAAGCACAATAATCCACTTAATATCATTCATTTTACTTTATTTGACAAGTCAATTTTCAATTATCTCCAAGAAATCTTCTGATATGATTCTTAATACATCGTTCCTACTTTTCTCACATATCCCGCAACATCATATGGTGTAGTGAAATGAAGGTTGGAACGAGAAAGGAGATATACCAAAAAGTAATTTTCTTAATATCAACTATTCATAAAATGGTAGCAACAAACTTGATTACGCCATTCAGTTGAGATATAAAGAGTACCTTTCCAACTCAAGCAAAAATGACAAATAACTAAAGCAAATATCGCCAAACACCAATTAAACTAAAAAAAACT